TAGACATACGAATAGATTTCTTCTACAGCGAAAGATTCTAAGCCACACCGACTCGTCTCGTATGAAACAATTGAGTCACGACGAAAATGCGTACAAACTTTCGCTCTACATCATGAAGTGCGAAACTTCGCACCTTTGGACGCGAAACTTGCAGGGAACGCGAAATGAACTGTCGTAGGAAATTTCGTGAGATCGGGTCATGGCGTACGTGCACTTGGCCCGCGCAAACTACGAAAATGTGCAGAACGCAAAGTTCGTGCAAAAATTCGCACACACTTTCGCAAGGACTGTCGCGAAACTTCGTTCGAATTTTCGTTTTGCAGAACGTCTCTACTGAGCCTTTCTTTAGCAACATGACGACGGCAACTGAAACAGCAACAGAGAAAGTACGATACATGTACTCCACATTCTTACAGGTACTACAAACAGATTGCAGATCGTAATTCTTGATTTGGCGGCACGAAACTTTATTTGGGGCAGTGCAATCTCGGCGGTACTCACAAATCAAACAGCCCAGACTTGGGTAAACAAATCCCATCATACAAGTACGAGATTTTCACGAGACGAGACTGCACCCATATGGCTTGTTTCGTATGAAACAAACAAGTTACTGAACCTCTCCACAATAGAGATTTCCCCTGACTTGTAACGTACCAATGTACAATGAATATGAGTATTTCGACAACACATCTAACATAAGCCTTACCGTCAAGAAGTTGAACTCGCGTTCTTCGCACACTGTAGACAAGGGCAAAGAGATAAAAATGGATCTAAATCCGAATAAAATCAGCACACGTTTCCGTAAATGAAAGGTGAACATAAGCAAATGAATCGAAGGAAACCGGTCAACTGCGAGATCACCTGTCATCGAGTATTCCGTAAAAGGAGGCCTCGCAGCTCGGCAGCAGAAAAGCAAAATTTAGAAAAGAGATCCTGTCAACTTTTCCATTATTTATTGCATTCCGCCCCAAAATCAGCACACTTTTCCTGAATAAAAGAGTCAACACAAGCAAATGAATCAAAGGCAACTGGTCAACTCACCTGTCATTGAGTAATATTCCGCGAAAGGAGGTCTCAGCTGCGCCGAAACGAAATAAGCCAGGCCATGAGACGAAATATCCGAAACAGCTCATGCAAGAAGCAGTTCCAAAGAAGGAAGTTAGTTCCTCGCGCATGCACATCCGAACACGGATCCGCGAACTGCATGCACTGAACACAATGTCTGCCGTGCACGTGCACAGCACACGGCTACCACGCGTTGGTAGATCTAATACCGAGCACCTTACGTAGAGACTTACGTAGCCTAAGTGAAATACCGAGCACCTTACGTAGAAACTTACGTAGCATAGCGATGTCGTTTTTTTTGCCATGTGAACACAATAATAGAAAAGCGGACAGGATCGCTTTTCTAAATGGTGTGGGCGGAACATAATTGTGGCTCTGTGCCCTGTTCACTTCAGACCTGCGGAAGATGGTGAGCTCACCACAGCGAAAATGCAACTTCGTCGAAATGTACTTTGAAGTACTGGCCGAATGTGTTAGGCCGCGAAAAAATCAAGCTGTGTGATTGTGTCATTCGATGAATTGACCACCTCGAAATGTCTCCCGCCGAAATGTCACACCTAACTGCCCGGATACCAACTTGTGCACGTTGTACGTTGTGACTTTCGAGCCGCTGTCGGGGGAATCATTCAGACATCTCACATCAACAACGGAAGATCAAGCCAGATTGGACAGCGGAGTAAGTGGGTTGTGTGACTTGTGGAGGTAGCAGGTTTGAACGCACTTTAATTTAGGTACGGGTTGTCAACCCTTATGCGTCCTCAAACCTGGCTGCACCATTTGTCTCTGTCTACCGTAACCACGAAAAGGAAAAGAAACGGAAATACGGAAATAAAACGGACAATACGAGAACTACGAGGAAACGCGAGGACTGGTCGATTATGTACGGAATGTGGAGAATTGTTCGTTTATGTACGGAATGTGTCGTTTATGTACGGAATGTGTTTATGTACGGAATGTGGAGAAATGTACGGAATGTGTTTATGTACGGAATGTGGAGAAATGTACGGAATGTGGAGAATTGTTCGTTTGTACCGGCAGTACTCTCCGCATCATGAGGTTTCAGCCGTGCCGCTTTTCTTTGTATAAACGTATTGCGAGTTTGCTATCTGAGAAGCATAATGAGCCATACTCAGTGGTCATGTCATGCATCCGTTTCGTTTTCTGAGAGCTTGCATTTCGTGTTTGCGTGGCTCGCACAGTCGGCATGACCGCCCTAGTGTGGGTTCGAATGATCAGTCCGCAACACTTGCAGTGGCAGCAGCGCATAATGAATAGATATTTTGCAATTGTCTTTGCTTTGCTTTTTCTCATCTGACATGTGTTACTTCCAGAAAAACTCCAAACAATTGTGAATGTTCGGTTTACGGTACATCACAGAACGTAGTAAGCGCCAGACGATACAATCATGTATACAGTTTGTAACGTCTTTTGCATACATGTAGCCACGGGAATAAAGCCTAATCATGTACAAAATGCACCTATACATGACGTCGTGGATGCACTTTCTCATTCAATAGACAATACCCGCGTTTGTGGTACTGTTCTGCAAATCACAGTCTAGTACTAAAACTAGTAAAAGGAAGGATTCTGTAGCTGTATCATATCCCGTCTGACAGTGACAGACACTATGGTTTTAGACTGAATGCCAGCCATCACCTTGATCATTCATTCATCATGCATTCAGCGTTGGGTACGCTTTGCAGTGCTAGTGCACTGTGAAGCTGTGTGAAAAGGCTATGAACAACAGGGCTATAATACTGTCGCGGACATGGACATCCAGTCGATTGACCGGGGCCGGCGCCCTCAGCGCGTACAGAACGTAAGTCGTTGCATGCAGACTTGCAGTGCACAATTTAATTATGTTGATCCTGGCCTGTGCGACCAGCAGCTAGCAGCGCATACATGCTACGGCTACATGGCCAGCGCCCTGTGGCAGCTAGACGTGCGACCGGATCTCCATGTCCACGGCAGAAGTAGCACTGTAGTTCTCTTTTTGAACAGCTGGGTGACACCATGACCAGAAATTGGCTTCCTTTTAGTGACACCTGTACCTTGACAGCAGCTGTAGCGGCCGTGGCAGGGCCAGGTGAAGCACCCCGCACATTTAGCGACCTCAAGTTCAGCGCCAACCAGGTGAGCGCGGCCGTTTCAGCGCTGTGAACGTAAGCGTCAAATCGTATAGCGCCAAATATTTCAGCGCCAGCAGCTAAGCACCGAATATCCACGATTAGTCCGAACCAGATACATGTACTGTATCTCCGCGCAAAATACATGTACGTCAGCCACATATCTCAGCGCTATGTATAATTTTGAGAGTCAATAAAAGACGGCTCATTAATTAAATTAATTAATTAATTAGTCAATTAAAGACGGTTGGAGTGCGCATCCAAGATGTGCTAGAGCTGTTAGCCAGTTAGTTGTAGAACGTCAGTACCGTCGGTCAGTGTCGTGCAACGTTACCGCATGATCTGATTGTTTAGTAACTGGTGATGTAAGTGGACAGTATAGCGTAACTTGTAGTTCCTTGGACTTTCTCTTTGTATTAATTATAGTCAATTTTAAAAGTTTTTATTATTAATTTTATAATACCCAACTTGTAAGACGAACTTAGAAGTTGCGACTTCCGCGGTAATAGTCATGAAGTTGATTGTAACTTGTAATAGTATTATTATTGTCATGTACACCGGAGGATGTACCCAGTGTGCTGACAGTGCTCAACACCACCGATGCAGAGCGTAATACAAAACAACGAGGACAATAAAGGCTTGTTTGCTGCTACTTCAAGTTTCTTGAAGTAGAAGCAAACTTCATTGTCCTGGTTGTTTTGTAATGTCATGTACATGTAATCTCCTGCCAAGTTAATAGTTCGTACAGACACTGCAGGAGTAGGTGAGGGTAAGCACCCTGCCATTCCGAAATACAACGCAGACATGGGCAATAAACTGGAGGCTCTGATGCAGCAAAACACGGAGCCAGTGGTTTCGCCTGGATAACATGGTACACTGGTCGGGTTTGCTGCAGAGTCATCTCTGTGGCGATCAGGCGAGTAGGACAACTGGTTTGTGTGTTTGTTTGTATACTTTATTTGAATTCGTTAATCCAAACGAGCACAAATACTCAATGACAAGGCAGCGAATATATTATTATGATACAGGGAAGGAGGGTTGGGGAGAAGATCAGGAGAACAAAGAGAGATTGACAGATATCTCAATGAAGAGCGAAGCGTTATCAAAACTACAAGTAAGCCAGCGAACAACAGTTCTGTAACCCACCTAATAAACTAAGTACTTTTTTTTCGGCGTGCAATGGACTGTCATTAAAGCAGAAACAGAAAAATGATATTAAGGGTTGAACCGTTCATGGACGGAATTTCAATGTGGCTCCTAGAATCCCCGTCTAGTAATACTAAGTGTTTCGCCAGCTGTACATGATTCTTGCCTGTGTACAGGAAAAGGTTCTCCTTGCAACTTTCCTGGCACACTGTACATGAACATGGCCGGTAATAAATGTGACTGTGCAACTGTATACATGCATATTGTTGCAATGACAGCATGAAACAAGGACACTGTGTTCGGAAACAGTGACCTTGCTACAACCTTCCGCGGTGTCCACCTTGTTTCGAGCTGTCAATCTACCAATATGCGTGAACTATAACAAGGTTGATCTAAGACTAGTTCTGAACTAGTATTGGGTTTTACATGTACTACGTATACAGTCATGTACTACATATTGGCTTCGCGCTGTACTTTATCGCGCTTACATTCTTCGCGCAGAACTTCCTCGAGCTGTAAACTACGGCGCTTTTTTCTTCGCGCTGATTCCTTGCGCAAATTCTGATCGCCCCTTACCGTATTTATGCGGAAGAAACTGAAGCGACAAGTCGCCAAACAGTTCACATGTATACGCTCAACGGGATTTTCATTTGTTTACGCACGTTGCTCCTGCTAGCATGGCAAGTGTCTGCTCAGAGCTAGAGGCGAGTGAAATTGAATGAAATTAGATATATTTCCAACGTCACACTGAGCACAACCCGCTGGAACATCGCAAGCGAACGGTCGACGGACGCTAAAGGAGTGGTTGCGGAGGAGAGATTTCCAGTGCTGTTATTTCAGCGTACTCTGCCAAACCTACTCGTCACTTGCGCTGAGATACTGCGTCGTGCGCTAATCCAAAAGGTATTGTTAGCGGGTTTCCCATGTATGATAATAACAATGATTCGAAGAGGATCGCATAAGAGAAAGAATGAGTAATTGAAGCGTGCTGGTGTGCTACTGACCGGACCGCCATGTGCCATAAGCAATAATACTAGCAGTTGCTTATGTACACTCTTCCGCATCCTTTACAGTCAATGAATGAAGTAAACCAAGCCCGTCTGCAGATATGCGCACGTTCTAGTAATAAAACTTAAGAGAGTACATGTATTTGAGAGTGGGGAAAGCACGTTGAAGACAGACCCTGATTACCACATCAGTTACCGTCTTGGAAAAGCTCAAGTCCAGAACCATGCACGTAATCGTTGCAGGTCTCTAACACCGACGCACACAGCACACGTGGAAGTGAATACGGTCCAGCGGATAATGCTGGCATTATTTTCGGCATTATGAGACTATCCATGGGAGTAGCAGTCTGCAAGCAGAGCATCATGGAGCACTAGCTTGAAGAAAAAAAAGAGAGCAGTGTGTGAAGTTTGAGTGGCACTACGAGTTGCACAGTGCACTAGTGGAGAATATCGGGAAATCTCTGGTTTTTCGCAACAACTGGCTACATACAGTCATGTGATCTAACCTTCATCGTGTCTGAAATGCGTGCAACTGGAACGCATTGTACGAGTTCATGACGTTGTGGACACGTAACACTTTTAGCACTTTGGCCGCTGTATGTAGCAACGCAGTCAGGTGCGTACCGGTAAACGTACAGTCACGTACACTCCTACAATTGTAGCCAAAGAAATCCAATCTACACTATAAGTCAAAAGCAGCACCAATACGGTGCTCGGATGGGTTTTTGGACAATGCAGGATGTACGGTATTGGATTGAAATTGCGAAATAGCACTTGTTTCAGTCTGAGTAGTAGTAGTAGTATTAATTATTTTACTAGGGAAATCCCCACAGACTGTGAGTCTTTTTACAGGGTACACTGAGTGTTGACTCATGGGTCAGATTCCTTTGGCCACGGCATAAAATACCAAACCCAAGCTATTCCACAAATCCGAAATGATTATTTGCACCGAGTAGGTGTTTTTTTTTTAGAAGTCATGGGGAGTCATGGAGGGGACATACGAAGAGGAGTGTTCTCGTTGTGCCTCAGGCTCTGGCGATAGCGCCTCCACAAGATGTAGCGATACTGAAGTAGACACTGATCCATTGATAAAGTTGGACCAGGATGAAGGAGCGGCAATGAATAGAAAGCGGAGCGCGTTGTAAAGAACTGCCTTTGCCGAGTCCATCCCAGGCCGGCAGGTTGGAAAAAACTAGAATTGCTCATGGACTGGGTACGAAGTCCACATGAGCTCTAAGCCGGGCGTGCTCGACTTTCCTTGTGAAGCAATCATCAGACAGTGGTTCGTCTATTGCAAACGTATGTTGCTGTGTGTTAGGGGGGGAGGGAGCATAAGCATGATTGTGATTGTGGATATGCATAATGTATTTGTGTATGTGTGTGTGGGGGGGGGGGTTGTGTGTGTATGTGTGTACGTCTGCATGATTGCGTGCGTTGATGTGTGCTTGTCCCAACCAATGCATGAACTAATGTTCTACTATATTTATTTGAGTCTTTTGGTGGTCTTGCTTGCCTGCTTGTATTTGTATGCGTTTTGTGATATGTGTTTGTCCTTCTCTATTGACTTTGGAATGCTCTGTAGGTCAACAAAACCTCCTGGATTGAGTACATCACTATGTTGCCTGTTGCTCTTCTCGTCGTTCTTATTACAACATGGACGTCCATTCCGGCATCTGCTGGTAAGAAAAGGACCAAAGCGTTATTTTCAAGCATTGTATTAAATTATTTATAGAAAAGAAAAAGTACCAAGGAACTGCAAGTAACGCTATAATGTCCACTAACACCACCAGCTACTAAACAATCAGCTCATGCGATAACATTGCACGACACTGACCGACGGCGCTGACGCTCTATCTTCAACTAACTGGCAAACAGCTCTAGCACATATTGGATGCGCACTCCAACAGCCTTCCAGAGATAAGCACAAGTTGAAAGTCTCAGCTGTGAAGGACATTGGCGGATGTTCATGCATGTCGATGATGATCCTGACAAGACCATTCGACAATACGGTCAAACCATGATTCAAGGACACAAAGCAACATTCCACACAACTTGTGTGGCTCAAAAAAGATGCGAAGATCAATAAAAGGTCAGGTTGTCAGATCCGGGCAATGTTACCGCACGAGCTGATTGTTTAGTAACTGGTGGAGTTAGCGGACATTTCAGCGTAACTTGTAGTTCCTTGGTCCTTTTTCTTTTACATAGATTAGTCCTTGGCTCTCCATCCAGTCCATTATTTGTTATACCGAAATAATGGGAAACAAAATGGCAAGCATTACTGGATGATGGCGAGGCTAGTAAGACAAGTGGAGATACTAGTCTTACTGCACTTCGACTTTGACTTTTATTCAGCCAAATATCAAAACATTATTTCGTTTGCTTATTACCGTTACCCGTCGTCTCACGTGGCTTCAGAATATGTTACGAGAGATAGGAGAGTCTCCAGCAGGCAGCGCATCCATCGTCAGGAAGTGGAAAGAGCAAACGGCATGGTCACGGGAGTCCTTGGTTGAGGTAAATGCTGAACGTTTGATTTGTCCCAACCAAGATTTCAGCACTTGATTCGCCACGATTTTTGCTTGCCAACTAACGTCTCCGCACTCCAGCGTTCTCCTGTCCGTGTCACGTCCCAGTACACAACGGAGAGGACTACTAATAAACAGTTCCCGGCACGACCAGCATTGAACACAGCACTTCTTTCACTTCGTGAATACAATAAGACAACTGAAAATGACACGATTCTGCTGTGAGCGACCTTCTCTCTCACGGAGCTGAGCAGAATGTGCGTCATCACCTGTAGTCGCCATGGAAACGCAATCAGAAAATCGGCGATATGGCAAGTTTGCAATATCGTACGGAGGTGAGAGATATATCATCGGAACCGATATGAAATTGTCTTTCATCTGAGCCCTACTTGAAAAATCGATGCACTTCCCCTTTAAGTGATGTCGACAATTTTCGCCTTTTTGGAAAGGCATGAGGAGGTCTCTAGAAACTAGGGTACCCCGTAAACAGAGCATGGGTCTGTGAGTACTGCCCTAGGGAAATATGAATTATATATTTAAAAAAATGCTTAACGGTCTCTGCTGGGATGACGACTATACCATAGCTCATTGGTTGGAGCATTGCTGGCTACAAATGAGGGTCCCCGGTTCTAGTCCTCGTGATGACAGTTATCTTGTTCTTCAGACTTTCCAGCTTACATCCTTTACCTCAAAACAGTGAAAGTAATTAAAAAATCATAATTTATAGAAAAGAAAAGACCAAGGAACTACAGGTTAGGCTATAATGTCCACTAACACCACAAGTTACTTGACAATCAGCTCATGCGATAGCATTGCACAAACCTGAATGACAGTGCCCAGGTTGTACAACTACTTGTAACTGGCTGTCATCTCTAGCCAGTCTTGGCTGTGCAATCCAACAGCCTTCCAACTTGGAAGGTTGTAAATTATATGAAAACATAGGCTGGGGAAAAATAATAATAGAGACAAGTTCTAGCCTTCAACTGCAAGAGGAACAAAAATTCATCATGAATTCCTTTTTTGAAGAGAAGTATGGCTCATCGATATGTGGGCTTTTTCTAGTCCCTTTCAATGCCACTGTAGACTGCATTCATGCACTCTGAGGCTGCGTTTACACGACAACGCATGGCCAGTTTTCCGTTTTCAGTCCCGCATTTATTTTTTCGTTTTTCGCACGTTCACACGATCAAAGCCGATCGGAGGTGGTCTCCGTTTGTATCGTTTTCAAGCGTCTACACGAGAGCAAATAATCCGCCAAAGTTTGTCATGTGCCAAGTGTTGCCGTGGAAGCACCAATCACACTCAAGTAATGTTTGAAAACAAGCACACGACAACACACTTCACATGACGATAATTGTAAAAACTTTTTGTTGGATTGTCGGATCCGTGTAAACGGCCGAAAACGAAACAAACGTGACGGAAAACGAGGCCAGCATACCGTTTCGACTGTTTACACATCCAAATTTATCTGGCACAACATGTCCGTTTTCAAATTCTTCCACCTTGGCCATCGTTTTGGTTTTCTTCCGTTTTGGTGTACAACGTTTACGTTTTGCTCCGTGTACCGCGTAAATGAACCATGGATCCGAACGGATTTCATTGCGTTTTCGTCCCCAGCGTTGTCGTGTAATTGCAGGCTTAGTGACACAGTCGACTTTCGTTGACCAGCAAACATGCAGTTCCCATTGCTGCTGTCGACTTCCGTCCACAGGCAGACTTCACCCAGTTTGGGTGTAACAGTTCCCTGTTAGCGCTAACCTTATCTGCCCTCTAGCTCTGTATCTTGCACCTTTCCCTATCCTGTCAGCAAGCGCGTTATCACCTTAGGGCACGAAGTGCCCTATATCAGTTGTGTTGCCTTGAGCAAGCATTGTCTTTTCCAAGAATACCTTCAAACGGTTACACTGGTAGCGGAGGATGGTTAACATGGTGTTCTTGGAGCTCGCCATTGTCGTGGCGATCCTTGTTCTTTCTGTGTTGCTATTCAGGTTGGCCAGCGAGGTCCGTGAAGCCAGTCGCCAAGTCAGCGCCTGTCTGAGCAACCGACAACAACCGCTCCCTGTGCCGCCCGCTCATTCGTCCGGGAAGCCTCGGCACGCTAAGGAGCTGCCGATCTTCGATGGCAAGCCCTCGCAGTTCAAAGAGTGGGCTTTCTCCATTGAGCTGGCGATTCGGTCACTGGGAATAACCGACTCATCGGTGATGGTGGATTACGCAGCGGGCTTCCTGAGCGGCAACGCCAAGCTATGGCTCATCGCATCGTTGGATACGGGTGTGGAGTTCTCGACGTGGCCAGCGCTGCGTGAAGCCCTCGCCAAGGTATACGGTCCGTTGCATCATCAAGAGCGGGTGCGACTGGATCTCTTCGCTGTCAGGCAGCACTCAAGCTTGGAGAGCTATGTCACCGAGTTCTCGCGCCTAAGCCTACAAGTGCCTGAGATCGACGAGCTGACCCGAGGACTGCTGTTCGTAAATGGACTGCACCCATCTGCCAAGACCCGGGTGCTGCGAGAGCACCCCACTGATCTGAGCCAAGCGATCAGGTCAGCGCAAACGGCGGACCAACAGCCGAACCCGATTCAGCACCCCACTGATCTGAGCCAAGCGATCAGGTCAGCGCAAACGGCGGACCAACAGCCGAACCCGATTCAGCACCGAAGTCAGCCCGTACGACCCCAAAGGCTAACACCGGAGGAGGGGCGTCACCTGAGTCGGCAGGGTGGATGCTTCGCTTGTCGGAAGCCAGGTCACCTAGCTCGGGATTGTCCCAGCAATCAACACCCAAACGCTGGTCGCCAGTGCAAAATGGCGTGCGCTCGCTGGCGACCAAGCGGAAAGCACCCAACGGTTACCCGGTTGACATACGCAACCGTTACAGCGTACTAGAGCTGGAAGAACCGACGCTGCAAGCTGATTCGGAAGATGTTGCCGAACAGGAATCCCATGTCAGCAACGTTGATATCGCACTACAGGACACGGAGCTTCCTTTGGAGCATGACCTTCTCCGTGTTGAGGGCAGGATCAACGGCCGCCGGGCAATTATGCTTATTGACTCGGGATCGACGCACGACTTCATATCGGAAGCTTTCGTGCAAAGAAACGGCCTTGTTACGGAGAGCAAGGACGAAACACTGAAGGTAACCCTGGCTGATGGCTCATCAACATCATCGGGACTGCAGAGGACCGGTCCGGTAAAGGTTATCGTGAAGGACTTCAGCGACACCCAATCTTTCACAGTTTTTCCGTTGAGCCGCTATGATGTTATCCTGGGCAAGCCATGGCTGACCAGACACAACCCGGATATCAACTTTCAGACCAACGAAGTCAAACTGAACGGAGAGCCGCTCGTTGCTAAACCCCCTTCCGGCCAAAATAGTGATACGGAGCGTCGAGAGTCGCCGCCAATTGAGAGCATGCTCATATCTGGTTCTCAGGCTCGCCGCGAGTTGAGGAAAGGCGCGCAGGGAATCCTGGCGTGGGTCAACGCTACTGACGACGAGGAGGAGGACAGCAAGCCATCAGCCGCCAGACAACACCCAGATCATCAAGAGCAGCTGGCTAACCTTCTGCGGCGGTACTCGGACATCTTTCCAGACGACCTGCCGACCGAGCTTCCGCCAGAGAGGGATGTCGACCATGAGATTGTGACTGAGGAGGGTGCCGTTTCTCCATCACGGGCTGCCTACCGTCTCCCCAAACCCGAGATGGACGAATTGCAAGCCCAGCTCACGGAACTCCTCCGCAAGGGCTTCATCGAACCCAGCAAGTCGCCATACGGTGCCCCAGTCTTTTTCGTTAAAAAGTCTGATGGCTCATTGCGCATGGTTTGTGATTGGCGGAATTTGAACAGGATCACCATCAAAAACAAAGCTTGCCTCCCAAACATTGATGACCTGTTTGATACCATTCAAGGTAGCTCATACTTCAGTAAGCTGGATTTACGCTCGGGATACAATCAGCTTAGGATCCGTCAGGAAGATGTACCTAAGACGGCTATCAATACTCCCTTCGGTCATTTCCAGTTCCGGGTCATGGGCTTTGGATTAACTAACGCCCCTGCCACGTTTCAGTCACTGATGAACAGTATTCTCCAACCGTACTTACGGCGGTTTGTGGTAGTTTTTCTGGATGATATTCTTATCTTCAGCAAATCCTGGCAAGATCATCTTGAACATATCCAGACAGTTCTTGAGACGCTCCGGAAAAATAGGCTATTCTGTAAGCAGTCGAAATGTGAGTTTGGTGTCAAGGATGTTCTGTTTCTAGGGCATCGCATCGACGGTGAATGTATCGCTCCAGATCCAAAGAAGCTTAAAGCAGTGAGGGAATGGCAGCCACCTGGGAGCCAGAAGAGAACTTGCTGGACGAGGCCGGTAGGCCGATAGTTGCTCTGAGGCGTTACAGGGCGTCCAGGGCATGTTAGTGACACTATGGTTACCGCGAAATGTTACTCGCTCAAATTCAATCGCACGTGTACCTTGAGAATTCCCACTTGATCCTTGTTGTGTTAAGCAATCCATTCCCCTCCTGTTTTAGATTTTCCCCATTTCCGTTATCTTCACTCGCCTGACTGTCCTTGGTTACCTTGCACGGTGCTTCAATTAGATGAGCGTTGTTGGGTTGACACGATTTCATTTTGATTATTCCCTTTCCACATATTCCTCGACTCCCTGGAGGCACCTGTGCCTCGCTTAGGAGGGAGGGATGGTGTAACAGTTCCCTGTTAGCGCTAACCTTATCTGCCCTCTAGCTCTGTATCTTGCACCTTTCCCTATCCTGTCAGCACGCGCGTTATCACCTTAGGGCACGAAGTGCCCTATATCAGTTGTGTTGCCTTGAGCAAGCAATGTCTTTTCCAAGAATACCTTCAAACGGTTACATTGGGCATCTATATTTGAATGGTGGATATATTTAGTAGAGGTAGAGGGCCATTGGCCCTGATAGAGGTCCATAACCATCAAAATACGCTGCCAAAAGTATGGGTTTCCTTTGAAAAACCCCGAACCAGCGTCTTTGCAAATGTGCAACCGATTTTAGCAGGGCGGCGTGGAATAAATTGGTTCTAACACACCTTGAGTGGTCAGCTGGCAGTGAAAGTGTTTAATTTGTAATCTTATGCGAAAAAAAAAATGTTCCATCAAGAAAGGCTCTAGACGGAGTTTTAGAAGGACAACATAATCATTGCCAACGTTCCACCATGTGGAAACTCGTTTCTTACACAACATGAAATAGACCTCTTTCAGAGACTTAGAACTTCTTTTTGGAACAAGATAAAACGCTTTTTTTGCAAATGAATGGTGGGTCTTTCCTGCTTCTTTTTGCCACCCAAGGTGATTTACGTATATAATGTTGACAGAGTACGAGGTCAATATAGGAAATAAAAGCGGAGTAAAAGACCGAGGCGAAGTCGAGGTCATTTCCGAGGTTTGTATTTCCTAAACTGACCAAGTATTAAATATTTATATTAATGTTAGGTACCTCCTCCCGTACCTTTTCTAGCTGGCCTGCATGCACTTGCAAACTCAACTTTTGCTCCGTTGGCCTGGGTAGCTACTTTCGCGCCCATATTTGCCATAGCTACCCAGGCCCTTTATCTTGCCGTTCAGACTTGATTTCTTTCTCTCTTTTCTGACTCTTCAATAATCAACATGTAGTCGTTTCGTTCTTCTTGGTCTCTTGTCCCGTCTCTAATGTCGTTCCACCAACCTACCTGCTCCTCTTGTAATGTCTGGATAATGTGTCGTCAGTCGTCCTTTTTCGTATTCAACATTGGCGCCCGATTATTGATCGACCCACGACCCTGAGATCATCCCATGCCCAGTCGTCCTCAACCGCCATTCGTATGTCAACCTCGTCTCGTCCATGTCCATCTCGTCTCGTCTCCAACCTCTTCTCGTCTATGTCAACCTTGTCTCGTCCATGTCAACCGCGTCTCTTCTTTGTCAATCTCGTCTCGTCCAAGTCATGCAGGTCAGCTACTTTCTTTATTTCTCTCTATTTTTCATCCATCCTTCGTAGTCAAATTTATTTTAGGTTTATTTTTTTGTTGTGATTATTGTAGTGTGTGTGCGCGCGGGTGTTCTTCATTAATATTAGGGGTCCGATCATGGTGAGCCACGCTCTCTTATTTATGTCGTATATTAAAGTGTAACTAGGCTGTATTAGCCGTGCAAAATACTAGTCATCAGAATACAATTCAAGTCGCTCGTCGAACTCCAATAGTTATTTTTTGTGCCATGTTTTTGAAGGGGCGTTTGGGCCCGTTGTTATTGGCAATGTACACACTATAAGTTGTACAAGAACGTTGACGGTTGTAATGATCTGTAGTGCATCTTTTAGTACACACTTTTGTGAGGCCCGCGCGTTGTGTGTGTGTTTTTTTGGTTGTGTTTTGTTTTTTCTTCTCTTCTTCCTCGGTCATTGTTCCTCTCTATTTTTCTCATCGTCTCATTATTTGCCGCGAGGTCGCGGTTCTTTTTTTCACTCAGGGGAGGTATGTTAGGTACCTCCTCCCGTACCTTTTCTAGCTGGCCTGCATGCACTTGCGTACTCACCTTTTGTTCCGTTGGCCTGGGTAGCTACTTATGCGCCCATATTTGCCATAGCTACCCAGGCCCTTTATCTTGCCGTTCAGACTTGATCTCTTTCTCTCTTTTCTCACTCTTCAATAATCACCATGTAGTCGTTTCGTTCGTCTTGGTCTCTTGTCCCGTCTCTAATAAATGTCGTCCCACCAGCTTACCTGTTCCCCTTGTAATGTCTGGATAATGTGTCGTCAGTCGTCATTTTTCGAATTCAACATTAAGTAAGAAGTTGATATTAGATTTATCACGACAAGCAGTCCGTTTTTCAAATTCCATAACCTCATAAATCCCGGTTTTAGGATTGCGAAACCGTTGGACCATGCACCACAAGGCACCGTTCAACAGCGCAACCCATAAGCAGTCAAATATAAGCAGTCAATATAGCCCTAAAGAGTGAAGTATGCAGGAATATTTGACTGCTTGGCTATAGCAATAATCAATGGGAGTCAATGCTATACGGGAGTGATAAAGCATGTTAACGTCGTTGACGGATAGTTTTCAATGTTTGACTGGCCGGTCGGATAAGAGTTTTAAAGGATCAGGTTTGGAGACAAAGCCCGGTTGCTGTCAGTTTAGAACATTGTTTGTGTGTGCGCTGTGTGTGTGTGTGTGTGCGCGCGCATGCGTGTGTGTGTGTGTGTGTGTGTGTGTGTGTGCATGTGTTCGTGCTTCCTTTTGTGTGTGTGTGTGTGTGCGTGTGTGATAATGTGTGCATGTGTATGTGTGTGCCTGTGTTTATGTGTGTGTGTGTGTGGGGGTGTTTGTGTGCATATGTCGAATCCACTGTTTCCAACCAGCCACATGTCCTCCAATACCATACCTCCCGAACGGATATTATACTACCAGTGATAGCAGTTTTACAAATGGTGGCACAGCGACTGCTTATTGTTTTCCAGGATACAGGTTAATTCGACCATCTTCAATCACTTGTAATGGCACTTGGCCTAGTGGTGGACCTCGTCCAACTTGTACATGTAAGTGGAACATAGTGTACTTGGTCTGATAGAATTATCTACATACACAGTGCTGCCTGGGATGGCAGTGCAATTGCTTTATCCATCGGCCATTGCATGTGAGCCATAAACAGCTCTTGGCATTGTCCAATGGTTTTCACGCTGATGAGGTTGTCCTCATTATGAGTGATAACCAGAATGCGGGCCCTGCATGGCATGTTTTTTTGTGGTGTAATTAACAGTGCGATTATGTGCAGCTCACAGGTACTAGCAAGTAGTTCGATTGCAATACGGCACTTCATATTTGCATACTCTGAAGTATGATAAATTTATGACTTCAATGTCAGTAATTCACCAAAGCTCTGATCGCCAGGTTTTGAAGAAGTTTTCACATGGAAAAATTAAGGAATTTAATTTCATCTATAATGTCACCAGCAGCTGTACTCACTCTATGTGAAGGATGGATTTACCATGACTCCTCACCCATGGTCTATAATTAAGAGACTGCTTCATTCTTTACAAATGGATACTTAGTCATAGTCTAGATTGGTTTCGGTACGGATCAAGTCTTCACACAATGTTCCGCAAATATCAGATTCAAACCTATTATTATTATTATTATTATTATTATTTCACCGTCCAATGGCAGAAGCCAATGCAAAGGAGGGGGCGTTAGCCAGCCATGGCAAGAGAAGAAAAAAAAAGAAAAAAAGAAAGAATGAAGGAAAGAAGATGATAATCGGAAGAAAATAATGCATCAGCGGGGTGAAATGTATCACTATGTTGACCATGGTGGAGAGCGGCGAGATAAGCTAGCAAAAGAGGCGAGCGAGCCTACAACGTGGCATGACATTTAACATGGTCTATGAACTGTCTAATATTGGATATTGTCTTCATTTCCATGGGCAGCTTGAGCCAATACGAGTATGCAGAGAAGATAGGAGATTTGGTAAACATAGTTGACAAAGCTCTGGGAAGTACTATGCCATTGCGAGTGTCCCGTGCGAAAGTAAACCAATTATACTTGGTGAGATGTTCAGGGACAATGTTCAGTTTAATACGATGGACCAGAACGCATGACTGTCTCTGCGACAGGATAGAGATGGGGCTGGTGGAGGCCAAACTATATAGATCAGTAGAGGGGATAAGAGTGGGTTTACGAAAAATAATTTTCAACACACGTTTATGATGTATTTCTAGTGTCACATTACATGTGATTGTGTGCATATATGTGCGTGTGTGTGTGTGTCCCATACGGTGCACTCAGACTCCTCTTGACCCTTCTTTCATTTTCCTGGGTGGTTACCAACAGCCAGTGCATGCCGGAGTATGTGATGTGATGTGTGTGCGGGAAAAAAATATGAAAAAGACCAAAAAGTAGGGATTCACTGGCAAGAAAAAGCCACTTCATAGCTGTGTGGTGTAGACTGGGCTGAAAAGTGGTGGTCAATTCTTCAGCCTTGCAAACTGTTGAATGGTGCAATCCCAGCACGAGCTGCTTTGGCTTCTGCTGTAGTATGGCTATCATCGCCTCTGGCGATGGGCGTCCAATGGTGTGCGTGTGTGTGTGTGTGTGTGTGTGTGTGTGTGTGTGTGCGTGAGTGTGTGTGTGTGTGTGCGTGCGTGCGTGCGTGCGCGCATGCGTGTGTGTGCATTGAATCAACTATTTCCAACTAGCAACTACATGTTCTGCAGCACCAACAATCGCTAACGGCTATCTTACTTTCAACAGTAGGGGTTTTATGGATGGAGGTTCAACAATTGCCAATTGTTTTCCAGGATACCAGTTGAATGGACCAGCTGCTATTACTTGTGCAAGTGGCCAGTGGCCTAGTAATGCTTCTCTTCCAACTTGTACACGTAAGTTGAATGAACTAGACCTGATACAATACATTATCTTCTTCATAGTCTTAACCCTTTCAGGATCACAGTGCATTTATAGCATCTGGGCGCTGTGATCCAGTGCATCAGTGCAATTGTGGAGACAACGGCAAAGATATTGTCATAAAATGAACTCGGATGAAGAGCCAAGGATTATTTGTAAAAAGTGAAAAGGACCAATGAACTACAAATTACGCTATAATGTCCGCTAACAGCACCAGTCACTCAGCAATCAGAAAACATTGCACGACACTGGCCGACTGTACTAAGGTTTTACAACTAGCTGGCTAGCCGCTCTAGCACATCTTGAGTGCGCACTCCAACAGTCTTCCAATATCCGGTATGCCAATTTCCGTTGGCTCTTGAAGGGACGGAAAGGGTTTTTTGGTCATGTTCACCTACCGAAGCACCATTGAAGGGGTGCACAAGATATATTCTGCAACAGTGAGAGTGACAATGTATGACAACAGAGTAATTTTGAAGAACTAGGGTGTGTCTACTTCTTGTGGAACTGATGAAGATAATACAAAAAAATTAATGATGGCAACATGAGAGAGTGTGCATGTCTTAGGTGGAGGTGTGACTACCCCCTTATCTAAATCGTCTCCCCATCTGAACCCGTTGATTATTAGCACTCTGCTGTAATGTGGTGTTATTGAAATAATGTACATGTGAGTACTGTTCTTGGGCAGTAATAGGTCAATAACGTGCAGCAGAGCTGGCACAAATACCCGCTGGAGCACATGGAGAAATGGACTCGGTTGGAGAGCCAAGGATAAATTTATAGAAAAGAATTTTAGCAATGTTATTGCATGAGCTGATTGTTTAGTAACTGGTGGTGTTAGTGGACATATTAGTGCGTTACTTGTAGTTCCTGAAAGGGCTAAGTGTGTACATGTGTGTATGCCTGTGTTTATGTGTGCGTGCGTGTTTGTGTGCATATTTCGAATCAACTGTTTCCAACCAGCCACATGTCCATCCACACCAAACCTCTCGAACGGATATTACATTACAAGTATTAGCATTTTTACAAGTGGTGGCCTAGCGATTGCTAATTGTTTTCCAGGTTACCAGAGAAATGGACCATTGGTAATCACTTGAAATTTTTTTCTACAAAATCCACATATCTCCAGATACAGGGGTGAATGATGGAGTGTGGTGGTGGGGCCCATTAATCTCCGCCGACCTGAGGTCTCGGCCTCATAGCTCCATGGACGCACCAAAGGGAGAGTGGGTAGGGAGGATTAAATTGAAAAAGAAAACAGAAGAAAGAAAATGGAAAGTTTGTACTGCTCAGTGAGCAAAAGAATAAGTTGAGTATTGATGTGAACGCTGTAAGACTTTTAAATTCAAGAGGAGACTGTCTGTGAGGAGAGATTACATGTATGACCAAGCAGGGTAGGACACTGTACCCTCTTACTCGTGTATGCTATGAGTGGCCCAGTGCCAGTTCGTTCTGAGGAGGTGGTGGTAAGCTGCTGTCTTGAACTTTTGGATGTTCTTTGGGCGAAAAGGGTGGGAATGACAGTGGAAGGCAGCTGGTTCCAAATTGGGATGATGGAGTGGGGAAAGGCTCGGCTCACATTCTTCCGGGAATTGGCCGGAAGAACATTCTGTAACTGATGGGGATGCACGGTGGACAGTCGTACAGCCTGGCGGGTGAGGCGTGTGGTCCTGGGTTGGTGTGTCGGGGGTGGAGCCATTCTCGAGAGAAGAGAGGGAGAATTATCGCAAAGGGCTTTATACAGGAGGCAGAGGGCAGCGATGGTGCGGCGAATTATGAGGCTAGGAAGCCAGCATTGCGGATGTATTGCCTTGATGGCTCGCTCCTGCACCCAGTCCAGCCGATTCAAGTGGGAAGGAGCTGCCAACATCCAGACAATTGGGCAGTACTCCATAACCGGCCGGACAAAGGCTTTGTAGGCTCGATGCCTGTCGGGAATAGTCAGCAAGTGAAATGCCTTGCGCAAGGCTCCAAGTCTCTGCGTTGCTCGGACTACAACAGTTCGGATATGCTGGCTGAATTTTAGCTGATGGTCAAACGTGACGCCGAGTACTTTGAGGGAGGGCTGCTCCTCGACAGGAGTTCCATTGAAGACAATGGGGGATATTGGCCAGTCCCGAAGATGGTGGGAAATTGTAAGGGCCTGAGATTTGGCTGGCTGGAACTGCACTTTCCAATCCAAGCCCCAACTGGATACTAGGTCAACAGCAGCCTGGAGTACTCTAGCGTTGTCAGGAACAGCAGTGAGAGTTGCAATTTCGGCGTATAGGGTTGTGTCGTCGGCGAATGAGGCAAGGCTGGAGCCGATTAGGAGGTGGTCTTCAAGGTCTTTCACGTAGACCAAGAATAAGGTAGGGCCCAGGATACTGCCCTGTAGCACCCCAGCCTTAACTGAGCGTCTGGCTGATGTCTGGCCGGAGATGAGGACTTGAAGTGTGCGGTTGCAGAGGTAGTGTTGGAGCCACCGATGCAGGTCTCCCGAGATGCCATACACTCTAGCCTTGTGCAACACACCTGTGTGAGACACCCGGTCAAATGCTCCAGCAATGTCAATGGCCAGCACTCGAGAATATCCTTTAACTCCTGCGGTGTGCACCCACTGGTGGTGGAGAGCAGTCAGCAGATCTGCTACGGAAGCCAAATTGCCGTTCTTACAGGACGTGATTCGTCTCCATGAAGTTGCTCATTGCCCTGTTGACTATGGTCTCCATGACCTTGGAGAGGACGCTCAGTAACGACACTGGTCGATAGTTTGATGGCGACGATGTAGACTTGCGCTTGTGGACTGGAACCACGTTTGCAGCCTTCCAATGTTGCGGCTGGATGCCGGAGCAAAGATAGCTTGTAAATAGTTTTGAAAGCGGTCGTGCCAATTCTGTAGAGCAAGCTTTCAAGACGCGGGCAGGTATCCCATCTGGACCAGTGGCCTTGGTGGGGTAGAGCTGGCGGAGAGTTCGCTCGACTGTGGTCTCGCGAAACCGGACGGTGCAGAGGTTGCGGTCAGTATGGGGTCGGACATGAGGAAATGGAGTGGATAGGTCGTCTGCCCCTAGACTGCATTTGTTGGCGAAGTGTTCGTCCATGCACTCTGCTTTGCTGCGGTTGGTGTCGTGCTCCGTGCCATCGGTGCTGCGGAGAGTAGGTATGGATGGGCTGTTTCCGTCGCCAGAGGCCTTCTTGATGGTTCGCCACCATTCACCAGATGCCATACACCCAGAGGCGAACTTCTGCGCCAAGCTTGCTGTGAATGCCTGCTTGGAAGTTTCCAGGCAATGGTTAGCTGAGTGCTTGGCGACATTGTAACGGGCTTGCAGCTGGGCACTTGACCAGTCGGCGCAGAGTCTCCTCCATGCTTATTGTTTCTGTGCTACAGCCTCCGTGCATTCCGGTGTCCACCAAGAGGGGTTAGATGGTTTCATTCACAACTGCTTAGATGGCATGTATCGGCGCATTCTTTCCAGAATATTCTGGGTCAAGTGCATACACATTGCATCAGGATCATCACTGACGGTGGACTGCCAATCTGTTGTTCTAAAGAATTGGCGGAGTCTGTCCCAGTCTGCGCGTTGGTAACGCCAGACAGTTCTGGTCACTGGTGGTTCCTCTGTCGTGCTTACATGAAAGTCAGCTAGGACACAGGCATGGTCAGAGTTTCCCAGAGGTGCTAAGGTATTGACTATCGCATCTCCCGGTAGGTCAGTCATTATTAAGTCGAGTGGGTTAAGGCCCCTGGTGGGCTCATGCACGTGCTGCTCCAAGCAGTGAAAAGCACACATGTCTTCAGTGTACACACCTGCATGAGTTGTCTTGGTGCTGCCGAGGCAATCCACGTTGTGTACGTTAAAATCTCCAGCCAATACCACATATTGACAAGGTTTACGGGCCAGGTCTATGCCAGCACTGATGGCTTCAAGGGCACTGATGTCATTGTCGTGGCAGGAGCCAGAGCGATATGCAGCACACACAGCCACTGACTTCTTATCCACAGTTCTGACACCCAGCCATGTTAGCTCCTCATTACCGACCTGAATGTCATCGAGTTCCCGGAGGGCCAGACTGGCTTTAACCCAAACCGCAACTCCTCCTCCATGAGCTGTTCGATCCTTCCGCAGTGGGAGTAGTAGCCAGGCAAGGACAGTTCGGAATCAGTAGCCTTCTCAGGGGTTACCTTGCTCTCTGTGACAATGGCAATGTCAGGTTGGTGAATGTGTACAGCATGGTGAAAGTCACCCAGTTTACTCAGTAGTCCAAATGTGTTTGTCAGTAGGATCCGAAAGGATCTAATTGGAGCTTTGAGCTTGAGTGTCGGAGGACTCGGAGAGAGCGTCACTGTGTGAGCCGGACAAGTTGTCCCCCTTCGGACGCTCACGGTGGCGCCAAACCCGCACGTACAGTGGGCGAGGCCTAAAGTTTGGAGCAGTGGCGATTTCACGATCAGTCTCATCGATCATCAAGCGGGCAGACACTTTCCCATCTTCTGTGGTGCGTATGCTGCACTGGTGAACCTTCACCGGCTTGTTCACTGCTGCAGAGTGTTGCTCAGTGAATTCCTTGACACTTTCTTCACTGCTATTTTGATCGACAAGTGGATGCTGCAAGTGAATCGCCTGGCGGAGGTGGCTTCCAACCAGCCACATGCTGCGTATGAGGTGTTTGTAAAGGGCCTCATGTCCAAGTGGCGGCACCACTTGCTCGTCCTATCTTGCCCGGCGAATCTTTTGGACCGTCTCGACGCCGCCATTACGACCAAGCTGCTGCCAGCGCTCAGTGGCCATTCCTGTTTGGACGAGTTGCCACTGAGAAAGCTGCTATCGCTACCAGCGCGGTTTGGTGGCATGGCAATCCCTGTGCCCTCGGTGGAGGCCAAGAAAGAGTTTTCTGCATCCAGATTGATTGTGGCTCCTGTGGCTTCCTGCACACGACCACCAGCACCCCCAACAAGCACTAACGAGACTACCCAAACAGACCAGCTGAACGAGGCAACAGCCCTCAGCAGGCTGGAGGCCGGGCGTATTCGCAGGGAGAGAGCTACCCAAGCCACGGATTTTACGGTACTACTAAACTTCTATTTGAGAAGAGTGGTTTACTGCCGCTAAATTCACAGGATGTGTGTAATGCTGACACTGAAGAGACTGTGAAAGAGGCCTTACAGAAGAAGCATCCTGCCCTGGCCGAGCCTCAGCTCGGGTGTTCTCCTTCCAGGTGAGCC